GGCGGGGGGGGGGGTAGGTGGCGTTGTTGGCGACTCGGGCGACTCGGGCGAGTCGGGCGAGTCGGGCGAGTCGAGCGATTCGATACTGATGGACCGGTGGTTGAGGTGGTGTTCTAACTAGCGACTAGCGGGCGTTGGCAATGGCCATGGCGACGGTGTCCGAGTGGGAGATGGAGACGGAGAGGGTGGCGATGCCGAGGCGGTCTGCGGCATCGCGGGCGGCGCCGTGTAGGATGACGACAGGAGCGCCCGATGCCGAGGTGGAGATCTCGATGTCGCGGAGCGGAGCGGCAGGGCCAAGTGAGATGGAGGAGTCCTCGGGATCGACGGCGTTGAGCGCCTTGAGAACGGCTTCCTTGGCGCACCAGCGGCCGGCAAATGAGGCCGGCGGTGATGGGCGGCTCGTGCAGTGGCTGACCTCGTCGGGAGTAAAGTTGCGGTCGAGAAAGTCCGACGAGGTAGCGCGGGCGTGCCACTCGGCCAGATCCTCGACGTCGACGCCGACGCCGCGGACGGGGGGCTGGGGAGTCTTTGGGGTGGAAGCGCCAGAGGCAGAGGATGCGGCAGCGGAGGATGCGGCATTGAGCTGGGCCTCTAGGGCGGCGGTGCGGGTCATCTTGATGCGCCACTGGCCGTCGGCCGGGTCGCGGGTGGCGCGGGCGTTGGGTTGAGGTAGACGCGGGTCTGGTCACGATCCGAGTACGGGGCCTCATTCTTGACAGAGATGAGGGCGCGGCGCGAGGTGAGGACTTCGTGGCCGTAGCGGTAGGCTGCGGTGGCGCGCGGGAGGCGGGCGGCTGAGTAGGCGGCCATCTGTGCAGGCGAGAGTGCGGCAAAGACGTACATGGGGTTGAGGACGAGGATGGATGCACCGGCCTGGCCAAAGCCAAACGACTTGAGGAGAGCGGCACGCGGCGGGCTCGGCAGCTTGATGGGGCGGTCGAGGTAGAGCAGGTGCGAGTTCTTGGCGAGGGCCGGGTCGACATTGTCGAGGTTGCCGTTGCCCGGCACGATGGATGAGGCCATGATCTGCAGCACGCCGTTGAGCATCCATCCTGCGGCTGGGGCCTTGGGGTGGCCGGTGAGCCACTTTTGGAAGACCGTGAAGACCGGGTTGCCCGAGTGGCGGCCGAGGTGGTCGAGCTCGATCTGGTTGACGGTGGATTCTGAGGTGTCGTTGAGGGCGGTGCCTGTGCCGTGGAAGGAGATGAGGTCGACGTCGTTGATGTCGAGGCCAAAAACGGCGAGGGCACCGCGGAGCGGGGCGACGGACGGATCATCGAGGTAGAACTCCATGTTCCACATCTTGAGGGCGGCGCGGGTCATTTTGTGGGCGACAGCGTCGAGTGCAGCGGAGCGCTCGGCAAGGTAGGCGGCAGCCGAGTCTGGCCCGGCGGAGTCTGCCATGGCCTGTGCGCCGCGCTCGAGGGCATCGCGCTGAGCGGAGAGCCAGGCGGCGATGCGGGCGCGCTCGTCATCCAGCTGTGCGCGACGGTAGTCGATGTCGAGCATGGGGTTGGCAAAGGCGAGCGGGACTTCGCGGGCGGCTGTGAGGATGCCCTGGCCCGGGGCCGGGACGGAGCGGCCTTCCTTGTCCGTGGCGGTGGCGGACCATGCGAGAACGGCGTGGATGGGCAGGCCCATCTCGATGGCGAGGGCGGCGGTGGTGAGCATCTGGACGGCGCCGCCCTGCGACTCCATAAAGCCGCCGCGCGAAGTTGTGGCCGGGCGACACATCTCGCGCGGGTCGCGACCTTGTGCAAACTCCTTGTCCGAGTTTGAGGTTGCGCCCATCTGGGCAAACTCGTAGGACGACTCTTCGCCAAAGTCGTCGAAACCGCCGACAAACATGACCTTGGCCTTGCCGGCCAGCAGGGTCTCGACGGCGATGTCGACGGACTCTGCGGCTGTGGCGCATGCGGCCACGGGGGTCTTGATGGGGCCGGATGCCGAGAGCAGAAGCATATTGATCCATGCGGGGGCGACGTTGATGAGCTGCTCCTGGAGGGTGTCTGAGGGAATGTCGTGGTCGAGGAGGCGGTCGCGGTGTGCGCGGCGGATGGCGCGCATGCCGCCCATGCCGCCGCCGATGGAGTTTCCGACCTGTGAGACGTGGACATAGTTGTAGAGCTCGTAGGGGTCTGTGATGCCGGCGGTGAGGAGGGCCTCTGCGGTGGAGGTGAGGAGGTAGAGGGTGACCGGGTCGACCTGGGCGATGATGTCCTGCGGGACGCCGAGGCGGGCCGGGTCCCAGCCTGTGGGAATCTGACCGGCGACGGCGCGATCGAAGCGGAGGGCCTTGGGCACGTAGACGACGGAGCCTGGCTCGAGCTGGACGAACCAGGTAGAGCCGCGCTCAAAGATGGTAGCGGCGTCACCGTGCTCGGCCTTGAAGGCGGTGGCCTCCTCGGGTGAGGCGACCTCGACGGGGCCAAGGGTGTTTGTGACGACGACTTGGCGCAGGAAGGACTTTGCGTGAGGAGAGTAGCCGTCAAAGAGTTCCGGCTCGACGAGGCGGATGCCGGCGTGTGCGAGGATGGCGTCTTCGTAGGAGGCCTTGACGTCGAGGTCTGCGACGAGAGCGCGCGTGGTGGCATCGACCCAGGAGGCCTGGGCGGGGTCGTATGTGATGAGGCCCATGAGCCAGGCCAGTTCGATGCAGCCCTCGAGCGAGAGCTCGCCCGACTGCTCCATGTCCCAGCGTGTGCGAGCGTTGCCCCAGGGCCCGATCTCGCCGTAGCCGACGACGCAGACGATGGACTCGAGGTCGAGCATGCCGTGGAGATTTGCGCGGAGCGGAGCGAGGGTGTCCTCTGTGGGAAGATTTGGAAAGGCAAAGTCGAAGCAGGCGCGGTCCTGGGCAGGCAGCGGCGGCAGCGGCGGAGCTTGCTCGGCAAGGGCGCGTGCTGTGGCAGCCTGGGCTTCGAGGTCGGCGCGGACGTCGCGGAGGAGGGTGTGCAAGTCGGGAACGGTGCCCATGCCGCCGGAGAGGTCAGCGACGAGCGGCCCCTCTTCGATGCGGGCCTTCATGGCGGGAACGATGAGGGCGAGGATGTTGAAGGCCATTTCAGCAGGCGAAAAGGTGCGGCAGCCATAGTCGTTCTCCATGGTGGGAGCGACGAGGTTTGTGCCGGACATGAGGCCGGTGCCGCGAGTCCAACCGATGACGGCGCCTACGACGGAGAGGTAGTGGCCCCAGCCTTCCGAGACGCACTTTGCCAGCAGGGCCTCGAGACCGATTTTGGACTCTGAGTAGAGGCCGTCGTGACCAAAGGCGCCGTGATTGGGCGAGAGCGGGAGGACGACGCAGGCCGGACGGGTCTCGATCTGGCGGGCGTCCTTGGCGGCCTTGACGGCACCGAGGAGGCGCTCGAGGTTTGTGAGCATGATGCGGTGTGCGAGTTCGGACTTTGAGTCGAGGCTCGCGAGATCACGGCCGTTCTCTGAGATGGCGGCAAAGGGCAGGATGACGTCGAGGTCCATGGCTAGAGAAGAGTAGATGTAGTCGACGAGGGCGTTGACGTCTGCGAGCGAGCCCTGGTTGAAGGGGACCAAGATGAGCGAGGCGCCGGCGGCGCCCCACTGGCGGTAGACGTTGCGGTACATGGTGGTCTTGGCGAGCGAGTACGACGAGGTGGTAGCGACGACGCGGGCACCGCCTGCGAGGAGGTGCTTGACGCACTCGAGGCCGATGGAGCCTGAGCCACATCCGGTGACGAGGACGTGGAGGCCGGCAAAGGAGACGGAACCGGAGGCGAGGCTGTGTAGGGCGGAGTGGTAGATGGAGCATGCGAGAGTCGCGTCGGCGTGGGCGGCGCGGAGGTGGGCGAGCTGGCTGGCGACTTGGTCGGGCACCTGATGGTGGGGGACGGCGGCGAGTAGGGACTCGAGAGCGGCGAGGGCGGCTGCGACTTGTGCGCTCTGTGCGGAGCCTGGCGGAGCGACGGTGAGAGCCGAGGCGCCGCGAGTGACAGAGGCGACGTACTCGGAGAGGTTTGCAACGCCGTGGCGCGGGAGCTCTTCGTAGACGATGGCGCCCTTTGGGGAGATGGAGACGTGGGGGGCTGTGAGCTCGTCAAAGTGGAGGTATGCGCGTGGCGGAGTAGGAGCATGACGGAGGGTAGTGGCGAGGAAAGCGAGCTTGTCGGCGACGCCGGGCGGGCATGCAGCGGAATCGCGAGCCTTTGCTGCGTAGCACTCGACGAGCGGAGCGAGGTTGGTGCCGCCGCGGTTGCGGAGCGAGTCGAGGCGAGCATCGACGAGCGGGTCGTCGAGAGCTCGGTTCGCGGAGATGAGGTCGAGGAAGAGCTCGACAAAGTCGACGCGGGCCCAGTTCCAGGCCGAGTCGTAGACGCGGACCTTTGCTGGGGCGAAAGCGGCGACGATGCCGTCGGCGTAGGCGTCGCCGTGCTCGGCGCGCCACCAGTCGAGCTCGGCGTGTGCGGCGTGCGCGGCGGCGGTGGCGGCAGCGGCGGTCTTGTCGGCGGCGCGCGAATCGATGCCAAGGAAGTTATGGTGGGCGGCGCCGAGGTTGCGGATGAGCTGAGCGTGGCTCTCGGTAAAGGCGGCGAGCTGGGCGAGGACGGCGGCGGCGGCGGCTGAGGAGAGGCCAGCGCCGGGAGCGGCGGCGGCGGCTGCAGCGGCCGGCGAGGCGAGGGGAATGCCCGCAAAGGACGCGTAGCTCTGGGCGGTGGCGTCGAGCCATGCGTGGGCTTCTGTCTGCGAGGCGAGGCGCGATGCGGGCTCGGAGAGAAGGCCGTGGACGAGGACGGAGTCGATGCGGCCCGGGCCGAGGCCAAAGGCGGAGGCGAGATGTGCGGCAGCGGCGTCGTAGCCTAGGGCGATCTTTGTTGAAAGCATCTTGCGGACGCGGTTTGAGGAGACCTTGCCGAGCTTTGAGTATGCGGGGCCTACGGCAGCGGCAGCGGCGGCGAGCGGCATGTCGGCGAGGTTGTCGACGGAGGCGGGAGCGGGGCCAAACTCTTCGCCGAGCTCACCGACGATCTCGTTTTGGAGGGCGGACTTGCCGCCGGCGAGATCGCGGATGGAGGCGGTTGGGGCGGCGTCAGCCAACGACTTTTTGGACTTTGTGGCGACGAGGACACGGAGGACGTGTTCGGGCGCAGGCGGGGCGTCGGGAACGGCGGCGGCGGGCGGCGAGGTGGAATGGTCGGGAGCGGTGGGAGGAGGGGCGGCGACGGCAGGGGCCGGCAACGAGAGGCCGTGGGCAGCGGCGTAAGAGGCGGCGACGGAAGCGAGCCAAGCATTGGCGGCGGCGTCGTCGGGAAGGCGCGACGGCGGCTCCATAGCAAGGGCGCGGACGAGGGCGTTGTCGACAAGGCCGCCATCGAGGCCGGCGGCGTTGAGTGCGGCGCGCATTTTCGAGGCGCCAAAGCCGCCGGGCAGCTTGCGCGAGGCGAGCTTCCCGAGGAGGGCGATGGAGACCTTGCCGAGGGACTTGTAGGATGGAGCGACGGCAGCAGCAAAGGCGGAGAGCGGCATCTCGACAGCGTTGTCGGGGGTGGATGCAGAGGCAAACTCCTTGCCGAGGTCGCCAACGACCTCGTTTTGCATGGCGGACTTGCCGCCGGCCAGCTCGCGGAGGGTGGAGTTGCCGGTGACGTCTGCCAGCGGCTTTTCATCTTGACGGCGACGAGGGCCAGCATGATGTGCTCGGCAGAGATGGGGCCCGAGATTGTGGCAGTAGATGCCGTTGGGGCGGAGGGAGAGGCGGGAGGCGGGAGCGCAGGTGTGGGTGTGGTCGGGGGTGGGGGCGTGGGAGTGACGGGCGGTTCGACGCGATTGCCTTCGAGCAGATAGATGGCGTCTGTGTGAGAAGCGTAGGAGACGACGGTGATGAGCGGTGCGAGCGGCGAGAAGGCGGGGCGGGTGAGAGTGCGAGAGGCCAGGGTGGAGAGAGTGGGCATGGGCCCAATCTCGATGATGCGGCGGACGCCTGTGTTGAAGAGCACCTCCTGGGTCTTGATCCACTGGACGGGCGAGGCAAACTGGTAGGAGAGGAGCTCGATGAGGAGCTTGCGGCCGAGGGCGGGCTTTGCGTGGTGGGAAGCCCATGTGTCCCAGTGAGCGAGGACGTCTGCGAGGATTTCTGAGCCTGTGGCTGTTGCAACCAGCTCGCAGTACGATCTGGAGATGGCAAAGGGGACGGCGGTGACGTTGGGAATGTAGACGCCCTCCATGGCGGCGACGGTTGTGACCGGGGCGATGGAGGCCTCGAGAGCGGCGCGGAAGGCGGCGACGCCCGGGCGGAGGAGCTTTGAGTGGAAGGGGACGTCGATGCCGCGGAGCGGGATTGTGGCGGAGCCGCGGGAGAGAGAGAGGAGCGAGCCCTCTGCGCGGTGCTCTGCGCGGAGGGCCTCTGTGACCTTTGTGGTTGCGCGGACGAGGCGGGCGATGGGCGACTCTGGCGAGCGCTTGAGGGCGGAGAGGACGCGGGAGAGGGCTTCGAGGTTGTAGAGATCGCCTGCGACGACGTACTGGCGGCCTTCGACGTTGTAGTTGACGATTTGGAGAAGGGCGCCGGTGGCGGACTCGATGCCGTCGACGACGGCGGAGAGGAGGTGTGGCGAGCAGTGCGGGCCGACGCGCGAGGGGTCTGCGGCAACCATGCCGTATGAGGAGCGGCCGGCTGCGTCGCGAACGACGGCGGACTGCATGGTCATGCCGCGAAGAAAGACGATGACGACGAGCTCCTCGGGCGGCATGACGTCGCCGGAGACGGAGACTGCGGCGTACTCGCCGAGCGAGTGGCCGGCGACGAAGGCGCCTTTCTGGACGAGGCCGCGGGCGACCATGTCCGAGTAGGCAGCGACTTCGAACATGACGAGAGCCGGCTGATTGAACTGGGTGGCGAAGAGGAGGCCGCCCTGCGGGGCTGAGAAGGTGTAGGATGAGGATGAGGAGGTGATGTCCGGGAAGAGAGCCTGGGTGGTAAAGACGAGCTTTCCGGTGGCGTTGTCGAGGTGCGGGACCTGTCTGGTGAGGGCGCGATAGTTGTCGCGGATAGCTACGCCGCGCGGGCCGTGAAAGTGAACGGTGAGCTCTTTCGGGTTCTTGCGGACGATGTGAAGGAGCGAGAAGCCAAACTTTGCCTTGAGATGGGCGTCGGCACGGTCCCAGAGGTTGCGCGCGACGGGCGATGAGGCGTAGAGATCCATGCCCATGCCGAGTTCTGTGGAACCCTGGCCGGTAAAGAGGTAAGCGGTGCGCGGCTGCGCGACAAGAGCGGTGGCGCGCAGGACGGGGAGGTCATCGGCGTTGCGTGTTGTGATGTGGATGACGGCGGCGCCGTTGCGCATGCCGACGCGGACGAGCTGTGTGTAGAGCTTGTTCAGCGGGAGGACCATGCCTGTAAACTCGACGGCAAAGTCGAGGATGCGGTGGGGATCGTTGTCGGCCCAGGTTTCGAGGACGCGGCGGGCGTTTGCGGCGAGCCACATGCCGTGGGTGATTGTACCAGGCAAGTTTGCGAGGACAGCGATGGCCGGGTTGACGTGAATGGGGTTGAGATCTCCGGAGGCGACTGCGTACGACGAGTTGTGGCGCGGGGCGGGAGCCATGTCTGGGGCGGCGAGGAGGATTTCGCCGCCGTCTGCAAACTCGACGGTGTCTGCGCCGTGCGAGAGGGGGACTGCGTGCTTGTCGAGAAAGGCGAGGACGTCGTTGGTGGCGGCAGCAGAGTAGGCGATGGTGGCGATCGGGGCGGGCAGCGGATGGCCGGGGACGGGGCGGGGGAGACGGTTCCGGAGACTGTGACGGAGGCTGTGGCGCCGTGTGGCCCGTAGGTGGTGTGTGAGGAGCAGTCAAAGACGAGGGCGGAGGCTGAGGCTGGGAGAGCGCCGTCGGACCAGGCGATCCACGACTCTGCGGCGACGAGTGCGCGCGGAATGGGAGCGCTGACGTCGAGGACGTGTGCGGTGTGAGAAGTGGTAAAGGTGTTCTCGTAGTCGTCAAAGTAGCCGCGGACAAGGAAGGAGGAGGTGAGGGTGAGGAGCGGGGCGCCGCAGCGGGCGATGTCGACGGCGACGGCGATGACCTTGCCCTCGGGGTCTGCGGTGGAGTTGCGGATTTCGACGAGGCGTGCGACCGATGTGAGGATGTCTCCCTCGGAGAGCTCCGAGGCGTGGAGGGCGGCGGGAGAGGGAGCGACCTTTGCGACGGAGTTTGTGAGGTGGACGAGGCGGAGAAAGTCGACGTTGAGCTCGTGGACAAAGAGGGCGCGCATGAGGGGGACCCAAGCTGCGGCGATGGCCATGTCGAGCGGAGCGGCGAGCTTGTCCTGACCGCGGTCGAGGTAGCGGCCGTTTGTGTTTCCGATGGCGCGCTGGAAGGACTTGATGGCGTCGCGTGTGAGGGTGTAAGTGGCGGAGAAGGAGCGGTCGGGAAGCGGGGTGGGGTCGTGGTCGGGCGGGAGAGCGAGGAGCGGGTCATCGAACCACATGGCGGCGTAAAAGTGCTTGACGCGGGCGGTGTGGCCCGAGTCGTTGACAAAGAGCAGGGCTAGTCCAGAGGGCGAGACACGATATGAGAAAGAGAGCGTGAGCGGGACGACGGCGCCGCCGGGCTTGTGGTGGTGGACGACGGCGACGACGTCTGAGGCGTGTGCATCAAAGGAGAGCGAGATGAGGGCGGTGTCAGAGTGGTGGGCGGAGAGGGTGATGGTCTGAGAGGAGCGGGAGTAGATTGCGCCCGGGAAGGGGCAAAGAGCGGGGCGACCATGTTTGGGATGCGCGAGTGGCCGTCGGGAGCGACGTAAGAGGGCGAGAGGAGGGCGACGGCGCGCCAGCCGGGATCGGGGCCGGCGAGCTCGTCGAGCACGGCGCTGAGCGAGGGAAGAGACGAGGGAGCGGCGTCGAGCGGGATGACGATGTCGTCGAGCGGGGCGATGGTGAGCGGGGCGTTTGGGAGGTGGGATGGATGCGGGCGGGCCGGGCCTGCGAGATAGGGGACGGGCGTCGGGGCTTGAGCAGAGGGAGCGGAAGCGAGGACGTGGAGGACGTGGTCTGTGATTGAGTTGAGGATGGTAGCGACGGGCTCGTTTGCCGAGGTGGAAAACGCTGCGGCGACGGGGCCGTGGAGGACAAAGACGCGCTGGGGATCCGAGTCTGGCACGCAGGAGAGGTCCTCCGACATCCACAGTGAGTCCTTCTTGAACCAGTAAGCGATGTCAGCGTCGAGAAGCGGGACAAAGTTGACGGGCTTGCCGCCGGTCTTGCAGAGAGCGAGAAAGTAGTCGATGTCCTGAGAGGCGAGGAGGAGCGAGTCGAGGCGCGGAAGGGCGGCGGCGAGGTGTGCGAGGAGGGAGCGCGTGTGTTCTGCGGAGGAGGGGAAGGCGTCCGGCGAGGCGAGGGCGGGAAAGGCAGTGATGATGGGGTTGATGGCGGTTGCGACGCGCTCTACGGCGCGGAGGGTCATTGCGGCGGTGCGGGAGCGGTAAGTGGCGTGCATCCAAGCGCCGGTGGCGTCAGTCATGAGGTGGACCATGCGACGGAGGAGAGCAGCGTATGTGAGTTGCGAGAGCGGGCACGGGTTGCCTGTGCGCGGGCAGCGCGGGAAGAATGGCTTCTGGTAGTGATCGTTGAGGCCTGAGATGATGGCGGCGCGGTGCTTAGCGAGAGCGGCGGTGAGGGCGTCGCCCTTTTTGAGCAGACTGTTTTGTCCATCCAGGCCCAAAAGACGCCTGCACGGTTTGCGAGGACGTGGATGGGCTCGCCCAGCTCCGAGGTGACGGTGATGATGCCACCGACGGGGCCGTCGTAGGAGCGCTCCCACTCGTGCTGTGCGGCGACGCCTGGGGTTGCGACGATGAGGTCCTTGACTGGGGATGCAGTGGCGGCTTCTGCGGCGACCATGACGCGGGATGCGATCATGACGGCGTCAAAGGGCATGGGCGGGTAGCCGTAGGGCTCTGACCAGGCGCCGGTGAGGTAGGGAGTTGCGGAGGGCCGTCGCCGATGCCTGAGCCCATGGTGAGGACGATGTTTGGGGTGGCGCGGATGGCGTGGTAGGTGTGGAGGATGGGATGGTGGGCATCCTCGAAGGAGTGGTGGCCGCCGGCGCGGCCGCCGGTCCACTGGAGGACGACTGTGAGGTGGGGGACGGCGGAGGCGATGGCGAGGACACGGTGGATGGCGGAGACGTTTCCGGGCTTGAAGGAGAGCTCGCGGAGGCCTGCGGCAGCCAAGGCGGAGAGGATTTCGATGCCGTTGTCGAGGGAGGGGACGCCTGCGGCGATTGTGACGTGTGAGATGGGGACGCCGCGTGCGAGGAGGGCGAGAGTGGCGGGGTACTGGAAGGCCCACTGCTTGGGGTTGAGGAAGAGGAGGTTGAGGCCAAAGGAGGCGCCGGGGTTGAGGAGGGCGACGAGTTGGGCGACGCGGTCGTGGAAGATGGCCTTGCGGGGGAGGCCGCCGCCGGCGAGCTCTGCGTGGTAGCCGGCGTTTGCGATGGCGGCGACGAGCGGGGCGTGGGCGGATGTGGGGGTCATGCCGCCGACGAGGACGGGCGGGCGGCCGGTAGCGCGAGTGAACTTTGTGTCGATGCGGACGGAGCCGTCGGGGAGGACGACGCGAGACGGGCCAAAGGCGTTTGCGTAGGAGATGCCAAAGGTGAGGTTGTCGACGGAGCGCGAGTAGAGCGGGAGAGTGTGTAGGGCGGAGGAGAGGACGGAGATGCCGCGCCCGCGGAGGTTTGCGGCAGTGATGGCGGCGATGCCGGACTCGCGGCCGGGGCCAAAGTCGATGATGTGAGTGATGGCCGAGGCCGGGGCGGCCTCCTCGGCGGCGGCCAGTCGACGGTGGCGACGGCGATGGAGGCAGCGAGGTGAGCGGTGAGCGAGGATGGGTGGAGGGTGGCCAGGTCTGCGCCGGCGTCTGTGGGCGAGTAGACCGGGAGCGAGAGGCGGGCGGAGGACCAGGAGGCGGCGAGGCCGATGCGGTGGAGATCGGCGGCGACTAGGGCGAGAGCGGGCTCGAGGAGCGGCGAGTGGAAGGAGCCGGAGACGTCGAGGTAGACGGCGCGGTATGTGGGCTTGCGGAGCGAGAAGGGAGTGCGGGCCTGGTCGAGGTCGGGCGAGACGGCGACCGAGTCGAGAAAGTCGCAAAAGTCGTGCAGGTGCTCGCGGACGCCGGCGACGACAAACTTGTTGCGGCCGTTACGGAGGGCGAGGTGGACGTACTTTGGCACGGGGGCGCGGGCCTGAAAGGTGTCGAGGGCGTGGGTGAGGGTGTTTGAGTCGAGGCCGGTGACGGAGAGCATGGGTGTGGGCTTGCCACGGCCCTTTGCACGCGAGTCCTCGATGACGTCGATGGGGAGGGCGGTGAGCGGGGCGACTTGCTGCATGCGAGCGCCGATCCAGAAGAGAAAGCGGACGGCGTCGACGGTGCGGGCGGCAAAGTCGTCGAGGGGCGAGTCGGCGGCGTCGTCGAGGAGGGCGAGGACGACGGCGGCGACGATGCCCTGCGAGTGGCCGGTGGCAGAGGCAAAGTGGCGGCGGAGGGCTGTGGGCGAGAGGGCAAGGTTTGCGGCGAGGGCGGCGTAGTTGAGCAGCTGTGTGAGACCGATGAGCGGGAAGGAGATCGGGGCAAAGGCGAGGTAGGTCGGCGGCGGCGGGGTGTTTGCCAGCCAGGCGGCGAGGTCAAAGCCGTGCTCGGCGTACCAGCCTAGCTCGACGGCCTGTGGCGAGGCAGCGGCGGCGGCAAGGGCGGCGGCGGCGGCATCGACGAGCGGGCGGATGCTGGGGGTGGCGGCGACGGTGGCAGCGAGTTCGGGCCAGTACTCGACGCCCTGGCCGCCAAAAACGGCGAGGAGCGAAGTGTTTGGCGAGGCGAGAAGAGCCGGGAGGTGGGGGAGGGCGGAGAGCGGGAGCAGGTTGACAGACGAGAGAAAGGCAACGGTAGCCTGGTAGCCGTGAATGGCGGCGGTGAGGGTGGGGGCGTCGGGGAGGGGGCGGCCCGAGGCGGAAGAGGCCTCGGCCAGAAAGTGGTCGTCGAGATGCGAGGTGTGGAGAGCGTGCAGCAGGAGGCGGAGGAGGGCAGTCTCCCGGGACGACTTGGGGTTGGGCTTGGGCGCGGAAGCGAGGACGGCAGCCATAAAGAGCGGGAGGGCAAAGACTGGCGAGGGTGCCGCCGACAGATCGGACTTGTCGGCCAGCGTCGAGGCGAGGGCGAGGAGCATGGACGGATCCCAGGTGGGCTTTGCGGAGGAGGCCACTGACGTGGCAGGTGGCAGGGGATCAAGCGGGACCGAGACCGAGAGGCTCTGATCGGCGGAAGAGTAGGGGAGGATGAGGCACGGGACGGCGTCGCCCGCCACGGATGAGGGGCGCGACATGGGTAGCGTGAGGGGAGGGGGAGGGGGGGAGGGGGGGAGGAGGGGGGAGGGGGGGGTAGGGGGGGGTAGGGGGGGGGTAGGAGTGGGGTGGTTTGTTTCGTGGTGGTGGAGTTTGATGAGTCTGACGTGGCAGCGTGGATTTTTTAGCCACGTCACGGGTGGGGTAGGGTGGGGTGGGGGGTGGACGATGGGGTGGACG